GTGCTCAGTCCGACCCTGCTTGATACCTACCTGGACTAATTACTTTCCTACAAAAGGCTACTCCCTCCTGACAACAGGGCCTTTACATTGAAGTTGTTGGTTTACCTGAAAGACTTCAGATCCTGGCTCCTGTAATAATACCGATGGACCTCTTTCTTACCCACCTATTAGAAACCAACCTGATCTACATTATCTTCCTTCTGTTACCAACCTGAAGTAATTAATGGTATATCTGTGTGAAGACATATGAAAACATACACACTCCCCCCTTTACACATACAGTCAGGGTAAAAAGAAAGTACACCCTCAAACTGCTACAGCTTTGGATTTCAAAGAGGTGGTCACATTTGCTGGTGATCAATTAATCCAATGCATTTGATTAGCAGCACCTGTCTGCTACTTAGCCACTTAAATTCTATGGATGCAGTAAGGGTGTACTTTGTTTTTCACGCATAGCTTCTCCATTCTGGCGTTTTCTTTTTGTTAAATAAATTAAGTCTCACTGTAATGTGTCATATATTGTTGTTTACCTGAGGTTGTATGTACCTAATTTTAAGACCTGCTAAGAAAAGATGATAGTTATGTCCTGATCTGTAAAACCATAGAATTCAAAGGGTGTACTTTCGTTTTCCCATGACTGTATATGCACAGTATCCATTTCCCTGTCAAATACCAGTACATGCTGTTAGCTTGACATAAGGTCTTTCCTGCCAGCCGCCAAATATACATTTTGCTTCTTGATATTAAGCACATGTCCTCACAATGCAGGGAGCTCACCGTATTTTATTGATGCCTTTCATAAACCCGCAGGAAAATGCTTCTACGTCTACTAATATTATTCATGGATGTGACACTCAAGTAATCTAACCGTTGCAAGAATTTACATCTTGTTGCACAAAGGGGCAGGAACACTTGGCAATCATGATATTATTGGTGTCAGCATGTTAATCCAGCAAAGTAGCAGCAATTAAGTCTCCCACCTCCCTAGATCTCTTGTGGCTTCAAATGGTACTTCTCAAGAGATGCCATAATGCCACTGTGACGAAAGCACCTTCATCACTGGGAGTTTTGGAGAGGCCTGCTTGCCAGCCTCTTGCCCTGTGATACCCCATGTTCAAAAGTACTGTTTCTGCCCCTTGGACTTTTAACTGGAAGAGATTCAAACATGTGGCAGCGGCCATCTTAAATTGTCCAGCAGTGTTTTGTCTTCGAGTGTATGGAACGGTTTTGGGCATGGGACCATGTGCACAGTGTGGCAAAAATAATACTTCCAGGAAATTCCTGAACCCCTGAACTGATCTGGGTGATTTTTGGATATGTTGTTCACCCAGATCGGGGCTATCAGGGGATGTGACTTTGTGGGGATATGTTGTATTTTGGGGTTTGTACAAATGTATGTTTTTCTGTTTAGAGTTAATTGAGTTAGCCCATTGTCTTTGTTAATTGTATCACAGGCAGAAGGGAGGGATTGTGTACACTGTATGGGAGTGTCTGCATGTAAGACTCTGTTTTTATTGGTTTGTTAATTCTGTGTCTTGTGCCCCACAAGGTCCACCTGGGTGTCAACCCTGTGGGGAAAAAACTGTAAAAAAACTTAAGCTGTTCAATAAACCTTCAGATCTGTTCTACCCTTCATGAAGTCTTGGCTCATGTTTGGGGGATTGGAGACCTACACTCTGGGGATTGCTATAATCACTATATTCCCCAGAGTATAATCACTAGCTCTTGTAAGAGCTTGTTCCTGCTCTCTGGATTTAAGGAGAGGTTCACCCACTGGAAGCTGGAGCCCGGTCTTGGATCCAGGGTGGGTGGAGGATGGCGAAACCCCAACCAAGCTGCGGCGGTTTGTGGTGGTTATGGTGTCGAGTGCGGTGCTGATGGTCCTTGGCGAGCACTAAGAGCATTGTTTGACGGAGGCACCCAGTCGGGGTGGCAGGCGGTCCGTCACAGCTGCCCCTGGATACACCAATGTATTTGAAATGCTAATGAATAGAGATCAGAGATATGAACATGCCTTGGACTGACCTGTAATTTGTATTTGTTTTTCATTATTTTAAAGCTTTAGAAGACATCATAGTCCAGTTCAGACAAGGCAAAGCCAGGGCAAGCATTGCAAAGGAAGAGTTGAAATAGAAACATTATTTTGTTTCTCCTCTTCTCCATATGCTCTATACAAGATACAATAGTGCTCTATATCGGTGTTTCCCAAACAAGTCCTCAAGACCCACCAACAGTCCAGGTTTTGTATCAGTATCTTCATTGAAGAAAAAAAAAGGGAAATACATAAACCCTGGGCTTTGTAAGAAGACACGGAGGCTCATATTGCATATCCCTTTCTTTACTGTCCACCAATAGCTGAAAAGAATACAAAACCGTAAAAATTGTATACATAGTGATAAGGCACTCCTATACCAAGTCCCAATATAATAGTCAGCACCAATCATATTTCCTCTTTCTTTGCTGCTCCACAGTCAGTTAAGTACCATCATTTTGTCTCTGGAGATTGTCATTGTGATTTGTTTATTTCCAATTGTATGTTTTATGTTTTGGTTAATCATGGGTTTTACTTTGTAGAACTGTTATAGTACCTGTTTATTATCTGTTTATAATCGGTTGGTTGTTCTGTACTCAAGGTCCCAGACCAGTAAAGGGTTTTTCCTTTTGTTACCCTCTTTGGGGGTGCTAGCCCCTAACTTTTTTTTCTTTTTGCCTCCTTATTCTGTAGCTGGACATGTCCTTTTGAGATTTTTTTTTTTTTTTTTCGATATTTGTTTCTCTTTGCCCGGACCCGTTTGGCACCCTTTTTGCAGTATTTCGCTCCTCGGTTCGGCTCTATTCCTGCCGATTTGGGGCCGGGTGGTCAGACATTCGCATGCGTACGTCTGTCAGTCTATTTTTTCCCACTGTGTTCAGTTCGCGAACATGTCGTTCGTGGGGTTGGTATGTGGCCCGAACATTTGGTAGTTTGCGATGCCGTTTCATGTTTTGTCTGCATAGATGCTTTTGGGAGATGAATTCAGCCTTTCGTGAGCTTTTTTCCTCGCAAGTTCCCGTTTTTTTTTCACATTGATCTCGCAAATTTTTTAGGTTTTTTCCCCTTCTGGTTTCTCCTGTGCCTACCCCTTCCTTCCTCGTGTTTCAGGCTGCTGGTCTGGGCCCTGGTGAGCACACCACTGTGCTAGTTTGGGTGACTAACCCTCACTGATTGCTCTTTTATCCTCCTTACAGCATTATGTTAACCCTATATTCATTCCCCTGATATTAATTAGTGGGTCCAACTATATTTTGCAACATGCCTAAGGTGCCTTTTTCCCCTTTTTTCCTGGGGTCTTGGATACCCCTGTATCATAGGGTAATGCCCCATCTATGGCTGGCTTCCCCCTCTTCCTCCCCGTGGCAGGGGACCTCAACCCCCGCAGGGTGGAGGCACAGTCCTTGGCGCTCCAGAAGTCTGTGATCAATGCCATAATGGCCAGAATGGGCTCCATGTCCTCGGCCTTTTTCCCAACTATTTCCCAGGCAGTAGGTACTCCTAAGGAAGGTAATGCCCAAGAGAGCTTCCACTGGGATAAAGGACTCCTATACAGGGTCACAGGGGGAGTGGGAAGTGGGGCAGCCCAAGTTATAAAAAGGCAGCTAGTCGTACCCCGCAAATACAGAGCAGAGCTGCTAAAGCTCAGCCATGATATCCCACTAACGGGACATCTGGGTATCAAGCAAACTAAGGACTGCCTTACCCAGACGTTCTTCTTGACAAGGATATCGAAAGATTTGCAAACATACTGCAGGACATGTGACACATGTCAATGGATAGGGAAGAGGGGGACCACCCTAAGGCCAAGTTACGTTCCCTACCTATAATAGAAGAGCCATTCTACAGAGTGGCAGTAGACCTGATAGGGCCCCTCAACAAACCCAGCTCCTCCGGAAAACGCTACATCCTCATGGTGGTGGACTACGCCACCAGGTACCCTGAGGCTGTGGCGCTCTCCATGTGAACGATTCAACGGCACACTTAAGCAAATGCTCACAGCGATCAGAGTCCTACGGTCAATAGGAGAAATTTGTACCCCACCTCCTGTTTGCCTACCGGGAAGTCTACCCTTCGAACTCCTATACGGGAGAAAAGTCCGGGGACCCCTGGACCTCATACGGCAGCACTGGGAGGGCAACACAGGAGAGGAAGGGATTCCAGTCTTGCCATACGTGCTGGAGTTCCGGAACACGACTGCAGGCTCTGACCAAATCCGTTCAGGAGAACCTGCAGGCGGCCCAGAAATGACAGAAGGGATGGTATGACCGGGGGGCACGCGGTAGGAACCTA